GAGCTTATAAAAAAAATGCAAATAGATCATTGGCAAATTAGAACATATGGGTAAAACACTGCTTTTGGGTTTATTTTCTCAAATAGATTTTGAGGGAATGGAAATCCAGAATCGAGACCGAAGTCGAAAGCCAGATGAATTTCTTTTGTATAAAGATGGGAATACATAGTGAGCATATACATAGGTCGAGACTTATGTACTGTGTGTTTAGGAAAATCCATTGATGTGAACATACATGAAAAAAATTCAAGGTTTTCAAAATCTATTTATTTACCATAGAAAAGAGCCTGCAAGTCCTGAATAAATTAATTAACAATCTGATAATGATAATACTTCAAATAAGTAAATATAAACATGACGTTAACCAAAATATGCAGATGTACTTATTTATTATAATTCAAGGACAATAATTTTCCACCAACTGTTTTTTCACAATCACGACTCTGTTGTAAAGAATAGTTTCCCTGGACACGATAAAAATTCTCTTCTCCTCAATTTCTAACTTGATTTTTTCAGCTCCAATTTCGTCATCTTAAGAGCAGATTTTTCTTATCTAGCAAAGCGAAGCTCTACCCTAGTCAAGTTTAAATCATTTCATTTTATACCTTTATTGTATTGTAGAAAGTACCTACATTTTTTAATAGGCAATTGTGCTTTTGAGACAAATTTTAATGTGTTGGAAGGTACATCAGCATCAGCTTTAAAATTAGGAAACTTTAAAAGACAGGGGGCCTAGGTATAGGTACCTACCTATATTAAAAGAATAAGGGAGTGCGAGTATGTGGGTATACATATGGGACTTAACTGCTTTAAGGCCCTATACCTGGGTACTGTAAAGCAAATTGTGTAAATTGAGTAATTTGCACTATGCGGCAAAATATGATTTGATTTGAACTACCCATTTCTGAATTTTATTTTGAATTGATATAAAAAACAAATGCATTTTTCTTCCACAGCTTCACAAAAATCGAATTTCACATAATTAAATAAAACAAACTCCCAACAAAATCTCAAAAAAACAAATGTTTTAGGTTAAGTTTTGTTGTTGACATCATTTCAAGGTTTTTAACGGGCTAAATTTTGCGTTACGTTAGGATTATTGACTTTTTTTCAAGTTGACTTGGAATTTATTTCAATATTTTTCCTTACTGCATACCAAATATTGAAATTCACGAGGTCACTTGACTTCATTTCAACATCTTGAAATTATAAAATGTCAATAATTGAAAAGTGGACTTACTGCATAGCAAATATTGAAATGTCTGTACAATTTCAATTTTATGTCCCATTTCAACCTTGACTTCAAGTCAATGTCCTTACTGCATAGCCCTGATTGTCTACATGCGGCGTAAACAATAACTTATTTTAAAAAATTCGAAAAAAAATATCAAAAGTTACTATACTATCACTATCACTTCGACATCAGCATTCACTGATTATAAAATATCAGGAAAACCAATAATAAAAGAAAAAAAAAAGAAAAAAAGGAAAGTGTGAGGTTAGAATTAAACGTCATTTATATTATTTTACATTGTTGACACGTTGTCTACATTGTCTACATTGTCTACACGTAAAGTAGACAATGAAAGTCTACGTGTAGACGCACATCCCTGTGTAGCCGTGCGCTCATCGGATACATTTGCCGAATGCTAGAGCAAAAAACACTGTACCCAACGTTGGATCTAACGTTGGGGCCAATGGTTGGACACATCGTGTGGCGCCGGCTTAACGCAAAATCATACTACGTGACGTCATCCAGATTCGCGCGCATTTAAGGTCGTTTGAAATGCTTTTAATTCGCGCGAAACTTTAAACATTTTTCACGAAGTTATTATTGAGTTTTAGGGAATAATATTTGGGGAATACTCTTTCAAGGCATAAATAAATGATTTAAAAAAATTTAAAAAAAATTGTAAAGTTCCCTATTGCGCTGATAACGTTTGTTGAATGGGAAGCAACGAACTTTTCTGCCTATAGGCAGAAAAAGTCCACTTTTCCGTTGCTAACTGGAAACCGGAGACGGTTCGTGACACACCCGTCATTCAAAAAGTAGGAACGTTCAGAAATTAGTTGGGTATATCTTAAGGCGTTCGGCAATCGCCTTTATAAATTTTATATTTAAGTATTAATTATTATTAATTATATAGTTATCCAGATATTTCCGGACATTTTCATCATGCGTCCGGACACCGGACAAACCTTTGAAAAACCGGACAGTCCGGGTTAAAACCAGACAGGTGGCAACCCTATTGACGTGTCTCGTTATACCTGATGTGCGCGCGCAACTCGTGGGTTGCAGGTAAGCGTCCAATGAAAATCGAGTTTGTTACGGGTTTGCGTCATATTCGTATTCAGGGACGAGTTCAGAATTAATCGTTCCTTCTTTCTTTGTAACGTGTAATTTGACAAAGAGCAAACTAATACTTTACGTATTACTTGAACTCATCGCAGTGTCGTTTAAGGTTATGTTAGATTATACTTGACACATTCCTTTGCAATTTTATTGTGTGATGTTGCCGGATGAAGCATTTATCAAAATAAAAGTGCCATTACATATAAATTAAAGCTCTTCTTTTGTCTAATTCAACGCGTTGTAGATAGAACACTTGACAATATATCACTTCTTTAATAGACTGTGAGATGGGGCCTGTTTAGTGGAGTCATTTTTTTTTGTCTGGCATTTTGAGGGCTAAATGTGGCTACTAAGCTGATCAGAAAATGCGTGGTTTTAATGCCTGCCTCCCGTTCGAAAATTTGCAGAAGCAAAAAATTGATTTACATGAGGAATTTTTTTTTTAATGATCTCAAATTTTTTGGCTTCTAAATAAAAGATTGACATTGATAAATAATTCACCCATAAAAAATACCAGAAGCTTTTCAATAGCTGAAAAAGTGGGGATGAGTGTCAACTTCCAAGAGAAAAGAAAAGAACCTTCCGCGTTTACTTTTTGTCTGGTAATCGAGAGAATGAAAGGTTTTGTTGTGAAAATATCGCTGAAAAATCGCCAGACGGTAATCCCAGTTCGAAGTCGAGTTTTCCGTCGAAACATTCTGTGGACATTTCGAACAGGTGGCAAGCACTAAAACCACCTATATTCTCATCAGCTAACTAGCCACATTCATCCCTCAAAATGCCAGACAAAAAAAAATGACTCCACTAAACAGGCCCTATCTCACGGTCTATAATGTTATAATGTTCGATTTGTATTGTCTACATTTGTTCTGCAACAATACAATCTGGCTACACTGCAGCCACGCGTTGGGCGCGCATGTCATTTTTCAATACTTCCTAACTTATATTTTTTACAATTAAGGCCGTTTTACAGCTTGCAATTCTTTCTGCAATATGCAAGAAACTTGAACGAGGGCATGCGCAGAAGTGAGTCAGCTGATTGGTTTCTGCAAGATTCTTGAAACTGGAATGGCATTGCATGCAATCGGTTTGGTGCCATTTTTCTTGAAGGTTTTCGTGCAAGCTTGCGAATTATTCAATTATGATGCTTAAAGTTGCTGCTATTGCTTTCTTCTCTTTATATCGACTTATAATCACTTTTTTTATTTTTGGAAAATGCAAACATCAACAACACAACATTAAAAACAAAAAAGTATGGATAAGGTTAGAGAAAGAAACAAGTCAAATTGCAAGGTGTATAACGACGTGCAAGAAATCTTGATTGCAATTTTTTTGCATGCAATAAATGGCATTCAAGTTTTTTTGCAAGCTGGAAAACGGCCTTTAAGCTCTCTTTTTCTATTTCTGCGAGACACGTACGTCAATTGACCTTTTCAATTTAGAAGCCTCTCTCTCTGGCGTCAGACTGTCAGATGCCAAAAGTGTATGAAAAGTATGAAAACAATGATTGACAGCTATTGACAATGGTTTGTTGACAAGAGTTTTATACGTGTGAGACTGGAAACTATTATTTCCTCGGTTTTTTCCTAACAATGGTGATTGTGTGTAGTGTGCCTTTTCGTGAAAATAATTCCTATTCACCGGCGGACGTGTCTTTCCATAAGTTTTCATCAAATCCTACATTTGTCAAAATTTGGATACACAAAATCAGAACTGATACTCGCAAAAGTAAGGGAAATCCACGATCCATCAAGTATACAAAATATCCACGTTCAAGTTTAGTTTGCTTCCCACATTTTCTTTCCAATTTCAAATTTCACCATTCTATGTCGGTCATTGTTATTCTCCATTCACTGAACAAAGATACCTAACTCATCGGTGAAGTCACCGATTAGAATAAAAACCAGGGGATTGCTAAACACCCTATACACTTGACATTGACGAGCAAGCAAATGTTGGCGGGAATCTGAATGTTTTCATACTTTCCGTGCGTTCGTTATTTTGGTCCGAGTTCTCCGAGCTTGACTTTACCGTTCGTTTATTTAAAAAGTGTACTCGGTGCAGCCTCATTCGCGTTCGTTTATTGAAATTTCTGGCACTTTTATTCAGCGTTCAACTGCTCTGTTCGCTCACTGATCACGTGATTACGGCTCCGCTCAGCACGCTCTGCTCTTTGAGCAAAATACCGAACGCAAGGTTTATCGTCCATCTCTTTTAATTGAAAACGTCAATTGAGATATTGATCAAAATCCGATTTTTTTCAATAGAACACCCTAGCTTGTTGGAAAGCTCTGCTTTTGCTGATTTCGATTAGATAAAGTTCGATAGGTTTATCTCCAATAGTTTCGGAGAAAAAAAAAGATTTCGATTTTTGTCATAACAATGTGTTGGAAGAGGACTTTATATCTGTAAGGAAAATGAGAAAGGTCTCTTTCTAACACATTGCTTCTTATGACAAAAAGAGACCAATTTCGGATTGTGGTAGAATGGATGATCCAGTTCAGGATTTTATTTCAACGCGAAAGATTTTGGAAGAGAAAACCACAACTCAAAACTCTCGGTAAACCACGACCGCTGGCGCAAACAGCTTGATGACGTCGGCAATGACTCTACTTCTACTCTACACCAAGCCGCTTTCCAGCTGTGTGCTGCAAGCACGGTGCAGCACAGTGTTCTGTGTTTGAAACGTAAAAGTTAGCAGTTTTCGAAGCGCAGTACGGCTGGAACACGAACACGCACTTGAAACATTTGCGCGCGCAAAAGCTCGATTGCGTGCTCAAAAGCGTCAGCTGGAATGCGGCCTAATCACCGCGATTACCAAAAATGAAGCCGATAAGCAATCCTTTAGTAGTAAGTAGTGTGTAATATCCTTGCTCTCTCTCTAGTCTGCACACAGAAGTGAGGTTAGTTAATATATTTTTTATTTACATTTGTGTGTGAACTGTGAGCTCAGACTCGACAGACTCAGCATCTGTGAGTATCTAAGTTTAGTGCTGGCTGAGAGTTTCATGCATAGAAGTTTTAGTGATTTCAAACTCTTTTCAGATCAGCGACCAGTGGGATCACGGTTGTAAGGCTCTCTGCTCTGTCGTTCTTGTTCCAGGTTTCCATTCCCATCCCATCCACCAATAAAACAATGGCATATGCAGAAGTAAGAGGTACAGATACTGTTAATTTTTTACATTAGCTAAGGTTTTTGCTTGGGATTTTGTGCACTTGTATGGAAAGAAATTTTTCAAAAAAATTACAGGGTGATTCAAAAGTAAGCGGCATCCTTTCGGGGGCGTATTCTTTGCATAAAAATAGGACAAAAAGTTCCTATTAACATGGGTCCGGAAATGCTTCTTAAGGAAGCTACGCTTCTTCGAATAGGACACCTGAAAGACGTATTTTTCTCTATAACTTTAACACCCTTCACAAATGGATTTTGAAAATTGGTGTATTTTATGAACATTTGATGGCACTTAAGATACTAAATTGAAAATTCGAAAGTCTCAACCAGTGGCGTCACATACTGGAGAGGGTGAGGGTTAAAACATCCCTATTTTTTTTACTCATCAGGTTTTTGCGATTCTGATTAAAAATTCAGAAATTTTAAAGTTTTTTACATAGAAAAGGTACTCTTGGTTCAATTCGATACAGCGTACCGTTTACAAGAAAATTGACTTTGAAAATTTTCTGATTTGTGTATGTTTCGCAAAAACCTGATGAGTAAAAAAAAAAATAGGGATGTTTTCACTCTCTCCAGTATGTGACACTGATTAAAATTTTTGAATTTTCAATTTAGTATCTTAATTGCCATCAAATGTTTATAAAATAGACCAATTTTCAAAATCCATCTGTGAAGGGTTTCAAAGTTATACAGAAAAACACGTCTTCCAGGTGTCCTATTCGAAGGGGTGTAGCGCGTAGCTCCCTTAGGAAGCTTTTGATAAACAAAATCCGAACGTCAACTGTTCTGAAGCAATAAAACGACAAAAACAACTGTATAGGTCAGAAATAAATAAGGCAAAAGTCAATTTTTTTTCCAACAACATATTAAACAATACTAATAAACCCAAAGCTATATGGGATATTATAAAAGCTTCTCGTAACAAGGAAAATTCGAATCCACCTCCCACAATCTCTCCAGAGGAGTTCAACAAGTTCTTTATAAACATTCCAAACACCATATCAGCCAATCTTCAAAGATCTGGTGCTGACCCTTCAGAATTAACCTCTACATTTATTCACAATAACTATACAGTTTTTTTAACTCCAGTAACACCTGCAGAGGTAGTAAGTATCCTGAGTTGCATGAGCGACAGCAAAGCAAAGGATGTCTTTGGTCTAAGCAACAAAATCTTGAAGCAACTCGCGGAAGGACTTGCCCTTCCCCTTTCCATAATTATAAACAGATGCTTTGAGGGTGGGAATTTCCCAAGTAAGTTGAAAACCAGTAGGGTAGTACCTATTTTCAAAAAAGGGGATGGAAATGACCCTGGAAACCATAGACCGATTTCTGTGGTACCGGCCTTGTCAAAACCAATTGAGATCAGCCTAAACAATCGTTTAACCATATTTTTAGAAAAGAGTAAGCTGCTGTCCAGCCATCAGTTTGGTTTTCGTAAAAAAAAATCTACAACAGATGCAATAAGAGCCCTGGTGGAGCATATAGTTGGATGCTTCGAGGGGGCAGAGTCGGTTATGGCCATCTTCTGTGACCTCTCGAAGGCGTTCGACTGTGTGTCACACCAGATACTACTAAACAAGCTGGGCTACTATGGCATTAGAGGCAACACACTGCATATAATTGAGTCATATCTTTCAGACCGCTACCAGCTGGTGGATTTTGATGGTAAGAGGTCTTCGGTGCTGCCTGTTGTTGCAGGTGTACCACAGGGATCCATACTAGGGCCATTACTATTCATTCTATATGTGAATGAACTTCCATCTATTTTTCCAGAATTGAAAACAATACAGTACGCAGATGATACAACCCTCCTTGACCACCATTGCAACACTGCCCAGCTTCATCCTGCATGTGTTTCCACCATTAAGAAACTTCACACATGGTTCGCTGACAACAATCTCTGTTTGAACCTTGATAAAACCAAAACCATAACCTTCTCCCTAAAAGAAAGAGAGGAGGCCAAGGCCCTTAAATTCCTGGGGGTCCAGTTCGAGAGCAGACTGACCTGGAAAAACCACATTATCCAACTTTCTAAGAGTCTCTCCTGTACCCTTTATCTTCTTCGCAGAATCGCACCTATCACCCCAATTGAAGTATCCCGTGCAGCCTATATGGGACTCTTCCAATCTAGGCTGTCATACGGCCTGCTTTTCTGGGGATGTTCTGTTGACTGGCCAAAAGTTTTTAAAATCCAAAAAAAAGCCATCAGAACGATTGGAAGACTGAAACCAACTGAAAGCTGCAGACCTTTTTTTCGTGATCTCCAAATACTGACCCTACCAGGTATGTTCATATACCAGTGCCTCAACTACACAAGAGCACATATATCTGAATTCTTAACAGTCAATAGCAGACATCACTACCCGACTAGACATGGTGAAGACTTATTAATTTACCAACACCGACTAACACTAACTCATAAAACTTACATTAATAACAGCATAAAACTTTATAACTGCCTGGCACCTGAGATCAAAGCTCTGCCTCCTATTATGTTCAAAAATAGAATAAAAAAGTTACTTTTAGAATTGTCTCCTTACACTTTGGAAGAATTCTATGTCAATTATAGATAGGAAAACAATATGTTTGTCATAATAATTGTTTGTTTTGTATCATCACTTATTATTGTTTAATTTATTACTACTTATTGTTGAATTGTGTCTTCTATCTTTTGAAGTTATATCTGTACTGTATTTGTTCACTTATATAGTCGTTGACAATGCTAAACATTTTATTGTATTTGAGCAAATAAAGAATTTTATTATTATTATTATTTATTATTTCCGGACCCATGTTAATAGGAACTTTTTGACTTATTTTTATGCAAGGAATACGCCTCCGAAAGAATGCCGCTTACTTTTGAATCACCCTGTATTATAAATTCTTATTTTTGCAACAGTGTAAAGTGAAGAGTAAAGTGAAGCTTCTGCGACAATCACTCACATGAGTGAAAAAAGGTGCTTAGGCCGGTCATCCATTTAGAAGACATTTGTTTGCGCCATGTCGCCAACATGTTACTGATGTGTCTTTTTTATATAAAACCTCAGCATAAAACCCTTATAGACCGTCAGATAGTGACAGATTTAGGTGCCCCATTTTCGCATACAAGCCTCGAAGAGGGTTGAAAAGTACATCGATTTTGAGTAGGATGAAGGTATTTTCAGGAGTGGCTCCTGGGGATGACGTATGGAAAATTCGATTGTCCGTAACAGAAATGAAAGACGCGCTCTCGGACGCGCTAGTGCCCATATTTTCTCGCAAACCGCGCTCACCAAGGGATTAATTTATTAAAAACCTAGCTTCGGAAAATCAAAGGCTTGAGTGCTTCAGGTGGCTGAAGGGTTGAAAAAAAGGCTTTATCGTGTAAGAAAAAATTGAAATTTCGACCAATTTTTGTACACAAGCCTATTGGAAGTATGAAAACGTCCACCGTCACTACCCCGTAAAACATATTGGCTTGAGTAGTGGGAATGGATAAATACAATCTGAGGTCGGAAAATTTAACAGATTTTTTTTTTCGATTTTTCAGTCATTTTTCCATGCAAGCCTTTGGAACTATAGAATGTTATTGATATGTTGGACTTTATAATAAATTTGGCATGACTATCGGATGTGGACGGAACGAAGGCTTGAGTCGGAAAGTGGCAGGAAAATTGTATGCAAAATTCCACCATTTTCTCACTCAAGCCGTTTTACATATGCTTAGAAAAAGTAATTCTAAGGCTAGATCAGAGCTGTCAAAGATACTTTCAAAAAGTATCTAGTTACAAGATAAGTTACTTTTGGAAAAAGTATCTGAAGTTACTTTGGGTATTTAGTTACTCATTTAAAAAAGTATCTTTAATACGTATCTTAAGTTACTTTTCAAGGTACTTAATAAGATACTTATTAAGATACTTTATTATTAGTTCCAAAGCTTTTGCTGTTCAGTTTATTTGATCCACAGGTTTCAGATTCAGTTTTAAAAACAAGAATTTTTATAGTTTAAAAATCCCAAATTCGAGAATTAGGTTTAAAATCGCAGGACATAGAAAGTTATCACAGTTACAATCACAAATCCAAGTTACATTTTTATAGAATATAATGAATAAATCATGATGTGATCTATTGAAGTACAAAATCGTTAATAACTCTTTTGTTGAATGAGTGTACACTAACTTTACAGAGCGGCTGGGTGAGAAGGTACAAACGAATATTTACATATAGGTAACGTAAGCTTGGTGCTTCTTGAAGTTTGAACCAGTTTTATCATTTTTTCACGGAACTTATTATTTTTGTTAACTTAGATTTAGATTAGACTTTTCAGCATTTACCTACCTACTTCTAAGTATCTGAGATATTTTCTGGTATCCAAGATACTTTTTCAAGCTACAAGTTACAGATCCTTTTGAAAAGTAACTAAGATACTAGATGCTTTTGCCAAAAAATAAAAAGTATTTAAGATACAGTATCTTAGATACTATAAAGTAACTAAGATATTTTTATTTTATTTATTTATTTATTTCCATTTCAAATTACACAAATTCATACAATAAGTACTGTAAAAATAAACATAAATTGAATGACGTCAAAAAGAAAAAAAATTCTACAAACAATCAATATCATAGGATTACACTACTCATTCCTAGCTATTCATATACTCTTCAATATTATAGTGCTCAAGATTAATTAGAAACTGCTTTAATTTTTGCTTAAAATGTTTTTCATTTGTTGTATTTTTTATGTCATTACTTAATTTATTGTGAAGTCTGACACCCATATAGTAGGGACTTTTCTCAGATAGGGTCAAACGATGGATTGGAAAAGGTATGTCGTTTGTACGAGTGTTGTATCCATGGTTAATATTGACAGAAAAAACGGTTCGTCTGTTTCTAAAAACAAACATGATAATTTCAAATATATACAAACCATATATGGTTAGAAGATAGGTACTCTAAAGTTAATTATATACTTTTTTCTGACAACTCTGAATATACTAAACTTGAC